GACCAACATTGGTCATTTAATGCAGACAAAATTCATAGTAGTGGCAGTGGCCGAGTCTCAGGTGTTCTGTAGTATTTGCCTTCAACATTATCTCATGTACTCAAAAAATGATAGTCTTGGACAACAGGGTAAACAAAAGAGCAGAGATGCATAGTATGAGGAAGCCAATGGCAAAAATGGGAACCATACCTGAAAAATTATTAAAATATCATGAAAGGGCTAGGGACCTGGCTGAAATCATTGTGTCTGATTAGGAAGAACAAAAGTCTGTGCTTAATAGGCATTGTTGTTAAATAAATGAATAAAAGAAATACTATGTTGTGAATGGCCAGTACATAGACAGGAAGCCATGTCAAGCAAAATAAGTTTAACTAGTTCTTCAGCCCAATTGGATGAAGTGTTTCTGGAAAGTGTGAGCATGTCACTAAGGGTTCTTTTGTTTATTATTTATTTTTTGCAATGCTAAGACTTCACCCTCACATTGAGCCAACAAACCAGCAAATTTTTTGTTTATGATGGGATATTTAAAGATAGCCTCACTCATTAACTTTGCCTGGGGTTAGTCTCAAGCCACAAACCTCCTGATCAATCTCCAGTGGAGCTAGGATAACAGGCATGAGAAAATGGCCCTTGGTTATGGAAATGGTTTTGACGGTAATGGTTTGATTGGCCAAGAAGGAAATTTTAGTGATAATGGTGGTTTTGCTGTAACCCATGCTGATGTTTGGTATAATGGCTTTGGGGATGGCTACAATGAATTTGGTAATTAAGGAAGCAATTTCAGCAGTGGAAAACTTGTCAAATTTTGGACCCATGCCTGGGAGAAAACTGGAGGCAGAAACTCTGGCCCCTAGGGTGCTTGAGTCCAATATTTTGCAAAATCATGAAATCAAGGTTGCTCTGGTGGAACTTGAAATAGCAGGCTCTATGGCAGGGGCTGAAGGTTCTACTTCTTCCTAAGAAACAAATTTTAGCAGATGAGGCCCAGAAAAGCAATGCAGAAGCTACAGTTTACTATAAAATTGTGAGCTCAGCCTATAAAGTGGCAGAAAAATCCCACCTGCTAGATGAACCACATGTAGCAGTTTCCTATTTCTATTCCACCATTTGGGGATGAATTCAAGAATTGATGCATGCTTGGTAAGTGCTTTACCCCTTGGACAATGAAGCCTGTCCAGAAGACATATTTTATGTACATGGGTAAAAATATTGAGGGCTATATATGTAACTTACTCTACAAAAGGCTCTTTACTTCCTGCACTGTACAAATTGTAAAGTGAACCAAAGAACTGGTTCTATTTGGACTTTTGATATAAATATGTTCTTTTGATGCTGAACTACAACTAACCCTTTTCTGTGAGGATCACGAGAAGCTATGATTTCAGACATGTGCCCGCATTACCGCCTTCCTATATCACATTTAAATGCACACATATATTCATATACTTGCCCCTCTCACATCTACATGCATGTATGCATGTGCAAAGGGATTAGAAGAAAACTTAGGGATTTCTATTTGGGGGGGGTATGGCACTAGGGTTTAATCTCTGAGCATCACATTTACTAGGCAGATACTTTACTGCTAGAGCCAGCCGAACAGCAATTCTTTTGTGATGGGTACTTTTAACATGGTGTTTCATGAACAATTTGACTGGTGGGGGCTTTGAAATGCAATCTTCCTCATCTCTGCCTGATCTAGGAATACAGGTATGAAACCCTGGCCTGGAATTCTTTTGTTGCTGTTGTCTCAAGCCTAACCTGCACCACCCTATTTTTTTTGTGTGTGATACTGGGGTTTGAACTTACCAGTGTGATATCTTTCATGTATATTCTGATAATGGAATGAAGATATTTCAACATAGCTTACATATATAAGTTTGTGACTGTGAATTATCTCATTTGTGTAAAGGACAATGGCACTTTTACTATGCTAAAAGCAGTGTGGACTTTCATGGGTTCATGGTAGTGAGATAAGTGAATAGTATCCCACCTGGCAGCAGGGACATGAATGCTTTTTCACAATTCCCATATCCATAAGGTTTGTCTCCAGTTTGAGTTCCTTCATGAGTAGAAAGGAACTGAGCACCTCTTCTGTGACTCTACCAAGAAACATTAGGAAGCCTCTGTGTGGTAAATTACAGACCATCAAAAACTTAAAACTAATACTACTAATGAAAGACAACTCAGATAAAGGTAGTTTTTATTTATCAGACAGTGCATAATTAACCAAGTGTAGCATATATCCTTAGAAACAGACCAATTTCAGTGGGTGCCCCAGCATCATGCCCATAATCCTAGTTTGTCAGGAGGCAGAAATCAGTAGATTTGTGGTTTAAAGTCATACAAAGTCCAATCTCAAAAATCACCAGGGCAAAATCAGCCTACCAGAGTAGGTCAAGTGGTAGAGTGCCTGTCCAGTAAACATGAGGACCTGAGTTTGAATACCAAATAGGTTGGTTTGAAAAAATCATGCCATCTAATGGTATTGTGTACAAATCTCTAATTCCAACAACACAGTGTACAACTATGGAACAAAATCCACATTGCAAAGTACAGTAGGTAGAATAAATGCCTTAAAGCATCTGAGATCATTGGAATAAGAAAGCAATCCCCAGACCTGGGCAACAATAGTTCACACGTTAATCCCAGGTACTAAAAAGGAGGAATCAGGAGAAGTTCATTACGACATCAGCTTTGGCAAATATTTTGAGGGACCCTATCTGGACAATACTTAACACACATAAAAGGGCTGCTGTAGTAGCTTATATGGTACAGTAGCTATATAACAAGCAAGAAGCCTTAAGTTCATGTCTGAGGGCCAGCCCACCCCAGAAAAAAAAAGAAAGAAACTGATCCCTGAGTCACATAATAAGGCCCAAACTTGTAGTTCTTTCAGGAAAACAAAGAGGCCCAAATTGTTCTTCCACAGAAGGATTATGGATAAATGTTTGGAGATGTTTACATGGAAATAAACTTGAAAAAAGAAAGAATGAAGAATGAAGAGAAGGGAAGTTACAGATAGAGAAAGAAGAGTATTAAAATGATCTATAGTCAATATTAATAAACAATCTTGAAACTATATTATTAAACATGGCATATTAAAAGACACAGATTAACAAATAGATCTCAGTAGAAAGGAAAGAAGTCTTCACTGGGTTTTAATGTAAACAGAAAAGTGATTCTTGACAGAAAAGGCATCATACAAGGGTGATCAAAACCACAATCTTTTTAAAGCATGAGTAAGGACAAGTCCAGGTTCTACTTGAAAACAAGCTTTCTGTTTTCACCTATGTCCTGGACAGTACACAAACTGCATTGAGAAATAAGAAAGATAAAATCTGAACAATTTCACAAGTATCATGTCACATGTTTTTCATCCCAGTGCTTGGGAACGGGTTGGAACAACCTAAGTTCAAAGTCAGCGTAGGATACCTATGCAATTAAAAAGGACCCTGTGGCAAGGACATTGAAAGTCACAATTAAAAAGACAAACAGGTAGAAAACCTGGGTAGCAAGAATGAGGTCAAGTCCAGATTCCAGTCCCATATAAGAGACATACTTAAGAAACCCCTCCCAGCTCTTAGGAAGTCTATTGATGCAGGATCCCATGGGGTTGTTTTTATAGGCTGGCAACTAGAGTAAGAACATAAAGGTTGTTTTAAGAGAAATATTTAGAAATACATAACCAGTTTCCTCTAGCTCAGTTCTGTAATCCTAGTACTTGAGAGGGTGAGCCAGGAGGATCTTGGTTGGAGGTCAGGTGGGCAAATATTCAAAGGCCCTTGCTCCAAAAGAACTAGGAGAAAACAGACTGGATTGGATGTGTGGCATTGAGGTGGAGTCCCTTCCCTGAAAGAACAAAGCCATGAGGTGAATTTTCTCTTCATGTCATGTTTCATCATATCACCAGAGGAAAGCAGGTGACATGGTATGCTTATGCTAACAAAAGTTAGATAAACTGGGCAGTCTCATGAATGCAAGAATGGAGTTCCCTCATGTTGCTAAAAGGAAGCAGGATATTTCAAAGCTTTCCCTCATTACTTTAATGCACAAAGTTATGTTCCAGTATGACACCTTGAGTATATTTTTGAATAATGAGAATGAAAGAAGACATTCCCACATATTTTACATCTATAAGGTTTGTAACAGATTGTAACAATTCTTTGATGGTGAATGGAATGAATATAGACAGCTTCATTGTGCTTAAACCTATAGATTTACTCTCCAGTGTGAGGACTCTCCAGTTTGAGGTAATGGAAATGAGTGAAGACTTTCCACACTGCTTTCCTAATACAATTATTTTCTATTGTTAACTTTGTATATTTTGGAGCAGCACTGCAATGTGTGAAGATGTATCTGTATTATGTGTATGTACAGCATTGTAATCTAATGTGGATTGTGTCATTTCAAAGAAGATTATTGGGAAAAGAAGGCATTCCAAAATTATCTACTTTGATAAGGTTTCTGACTTCATTCATATCTTTCAAGAAGACTGGGATATGTGAATGCTTTAACACACTTGCCATACCTTAGAGTTTTTACATCAGGAGGTATTTCAGGTGCAGGAAGGGTACCAGAACTAAGGAAGGCTTTCCATATTTTTAACTTTTGGGTTTGTCCTCTGTGAGTTTTTTCATGAGTATGAAGGATAGTGGATAGAGTGTACATTGTCTATCATTCCTTACATTAATAGAGCTTCTCTGTAGAGTGAGTTCCCATTTGTTAATGTCCCTGGAAATTGGTGACATCCATAGCTTTTTTCTCTAATGTAAGTTCCTTTATGTCTTTTAAAGGTACTGGGGCATAAGAACCCTTTGTCCACATTGCTTACATCCATAAGGTTTCTCTCCAATGTGAGTTCTTTCAGGGCTTCAAAGGTGACTGGAATGACTAAAGTCTTTCCCACATCGATTACATCCACAGGGTTTCACTATGGCATGAGTTCTCTCATGAATATGAAGGGTACTGGAAGAAGTGTAGGCTTTCCCACGTTGCTTACATCAAAAGGGTTTCTCTCCAGTATGAGTTCTTTCATGTACTTGAAGGTTACTTGAATTAGTAAAGGTTTTCCCACATTGCTTACATGCATATGGTTTCTCTCCAGTTTGAGTTCTTTCATGTATTAGAAGGTGACTGGAAGAAGTAAAGGCTTTCCCACATTGATTACACACATAAGGTTTCTTTCCAGTGTGAATCCTTGTATGTCTTTGAAGGTAACTGGAACAAGTAAAGGCTTTCCCACATTGCTTACATCCATAGGGTTTCTCTCCAGTGTGAGTTCGTTCATGAATACGAAGGGTACTGGAACAAGTGTAGGCTTTCCCACATTGCTGACATGCATAGGGTTTCTCTCCAGTGTGAGTAGTTCTATGTTTCTGAAGGTGACTGGAACGAGAAAAGGCTTTCCCACATTGCTTACATCCATAGGGTTTCTCTCCGGTGTGAATTCTTTTATGAACACGTAGGGTACTGGAACAAGTGTAGGTTTTCCCACATTGCTTACACACATAGGACTTCTCTGCAGTGTGAGTTCTTCTATGTCTCTGCAGGTAACAGGCTTTAGGGAAGGCTTTCCCACACTGCTTACATACATAGAGTTTCTCTACAATGTGAGTTCTTTCATGTATTTGAAGGTTAGCAGAATAAGAAAAGGCTCTCCCACATTGCTTACAAACATAGGGTTTCTCTCCAGTGTGACTTCTTTCATGCATTTGAAGGTTACCAGAATGAGTAAAGGCTTTCCCACATTGCTTACACACATAGAGTTTCTCTCCAGTGTGAATTCTTCCATGTATTTGAAGGTGAATGGGTCGAATAAAGGCTTTCCCACATTGCTTACATCCATAGGGTTTCTCTCCAGTGTGAGTTCTTTCATGTATTTGAAGGTTACCAGAATGAGTAAAGGTCTTCCCACATTGCTTACATGCATAGGGTTTCTCGACAGTATGAGTTCTTCTATGTCTCTGAAAGTTACTGGAACTAGAAAAGGCTTTCCCACATTGCTTACATGCGTAAGGTTTCTCTCCAGTGTGAGTTCTTTTATGAATATAAAGGGTACTGGAACAAGTGTAGGCTTTCCCACATTGCTTACATGCATAGGGTTTCTCTCCAGTGTGAGTTCTTTCATGAGTATGAAGTGTACTGGAACAAGAGTAGGCTTTCCCACATTGTTTACATGCATAAGGTTTCTCTCCAGTGTGAGTTCTTTTATGAATATAAAGGGTACTGGAACAAGTGTAGGCTTTCCCACATTGCTTACATGCATAGGGTTTCTCTCCAGTGTGAGTTCTTTCATGAGTATGAAGTGTACTGGAAGAAGAGTAGGCTTTCCCACATTGTTTACATGCATAGGGCTTCTCTCCAGTGTGAGTTCTTTCATGAATATGAAGTGTACTGGAAAAAGAGTAGGCTTTCCCACATTGCTTACATGCATATGGTTTTTCTCCAGTGTGAGTTCTTTTATGTCTCTGAAGGTGATTGGGACGAGTAAAGGCTTTCCCACATTGCTTACATTCATAGGGTTTCCCTCCACTGTGAGTTCTTCTGTGTTTCTGAAGGTGACAGGCTTGAGTAAAGGCTTTCCCACACTGATTCCATCCTTGAGCCTTCACTACAGTCTGTATCCTTTCATGGATTAGAAGAACCTTGTGATCAGTGCAGGTTTTCCCATAAGCATTATATATATAGCTTTTACATGGTTTTAGTTTAAGCAGAGTTTCCTTGCTTACAATGTTCTCTGGAGTCTGTTGAAAGTATTGAACATGTTTCTGTTCATGCTGTCTCTCCAACACTTCAGGTCTATAAAAAAGAGAAAGATTACCATTGTCATCCTATTAATGATTTATTAAGAGAAGTGATGGTGTTCATTCCTGTAAGGATTTATGAACATAAATATACTAAATGTTCTGCAGCAGGGCCTGAGGACAGCTATTACCAAAAAGTGTTTGACAAAACTGAAAGAGTTTTACTACATAGAAATACACTTAAAGTTCTTATTGAGGTGCCTTGGATCAAATGCATATAGGATCATGAAATAGAAGAATGAACATGAGGAGATAGCTTGAAAAATGTGCCAGTCTATGCCAGTGCACATGACAGTACAACTCTGATGGAATTTGACATGATATAGCTAAATAAACATGTGCATACACTGGGGTTGTTTTTATATATTGGGCAACTGGACAGTATCTCTTGTGACATCTTGGGACAAAACATGTTATGAATACTGGCACATATCAAGTTTTGAATTTTCTGATTCTGGAAGCTTAACTTATTTTCCCAATCTTAGAGAACTTTTCACTGATTTCAGCAATTTACAAGTGGAAGTTGGGGTCTCATTTCCTTGGTTTTCAAACTTCTTGTCATGCCACATTTGATGTTCACAGTTTCAGTTATAAGTAGAAATTACCTCATATTTCTACTGGAATTTCTGAAGTCCTCTTCAATATTTGCATTTTCTTCTTTTGTTTATGAGATAGAGACAGAAAAATAATTAATATTTAATCAATATGAAAGGACAATTTGACACCTCAGCTATTTTCATAGTATAAAATGATCATGCAGGTATATGAACCATTACTGTCCCTTTTTAAACACCCCACAAGGCAACAAGAGCCAGAACAGTAGTGCATAGTTTGAATAAGGTAATGATGCCATATTTACCAATGTAGGACAGGTTGCTGTAGGTTTCTAGCATCACTTCTCTGTAGAGCTTCTTTTGGGATGGATCCAAAAAGCCCCACTCTTCCAGGGTGAAGTTCACAGCAACATCCTCAAAGGTCAGGGGCTCCTAATGTGTTCCACACACATTTGTGAGAATAATTGAGATTGTCACAGAACTGCAAACAGACAATCTTTGCATAATTAATTCATAATGTGATGTTGTCTTCACATATTCAATGCATTTCATTTTTATCACACTCTCATCTTCCATCTATACCCACAGGCAATTCATACTAATTCTGACATCTTCCTAGACCTATTTGTTAAATTCAAAGCAGAACATGGTCACAAAAATTACGCATTATACACTGCAATTGTAGTAATCTACTAATAAATTCCTTCAATTTATGTCCCATTATAGTAATATCAGGTGAAAAGAGACTCCATGAATAATGTTATAAATGCATGAGTGAAACTTTCTTTTCTGCTGTTATTGCAGAATAGCTAATGGGATGAAACTTACCAAACTGTATATAAATTGTAAAAAAGAGAGTGTCCTGAAGCAATTTATTCCAACAATATCCTATTCTATATATACTATTCATAATTGTTTGCATGTATCGGCAAGGTTCACCCTAAAGAGTCTGTAGTAAGATAACCCACAATGCACTGTTGGTGAATAGTCAAGGTTGGTATGACAATATTTAATATCTCTTATTAAACATTCTTTTCTGGAATTAGGTTTGTCCTTATTGACTATATCAAAAGAGGACAGTGCAGTGGAGGTAGGCTATTTTAACAAACTCCTGAGTCTGGAACTTTATCACTGAAAGGTCCCTGCATTGACCTATGTCTGGGAACTACTAGCAAGGGTCAGTTGCTAATCCAGTGAGTGCTGGCCTGGAGAGCTGGTCTAGCTATAGGGGAAATGGCTCAAGTGAGGTCAGGGCAGAGGTCCATGTGGTGGGAAACTGTTAAGGTATGCAGGTGACAAAGGGTATTTCTTTCCATTTGGATTACTGGTAGGAAAAAATATTAGGGACAAATTGTCAAATGTTGCACAAAATTAAGGCCTCCTGGGAAACTTTGAAAAACCTATATTACTTCACTGATAAATCCAACACAGACATAAATCAAAGTAGAAACACCTTATCAACTGATAAAATTAAAACAGTCAGTAAAATGTTCACTTAAACAGCACATACTCTGAAATTGGAATGGTACAGAGAAGGTTAACATGGCCAAGCACAAGGATGACATGCAAATTCCTGAAGCATTACATGTTTTTTAAAAAGATAGTACCCATAAAACTCAAACATAACATACAGAATTATGTCAAATTAATCCACATACTTTCTTTTATTGAGCTGTTATTATTTCAAGTATGTATTGCTGCTGTTGCCTTATTTCATGTACTTCAGAGTAAAAATTGGATACAAATAGTATTTGAGGATGATTAAAACAACACATTTTTAGTTTGGTTGTGTTCCATGGAACATTCTGCACAAATTTATAATTTGCTCCTGTTATTTATACAGCATTCAAGTACATGAAGAACTTTCACTATTTTTACAAAAGATTGTATGTGTTAGTCATTGAAAACAGGTCTCCCTATTTAGTCCTGGGCAGCCCTAGATCTGCCACAAATTTATCATTTGCTCCTGTTATTTATACAGCATTCAAGTAACATGAAGAACTTTCAACTATTTTTCAAAGATTGTATGTTTAGTCATTGAAACAGGGTATCCTATTTAGTCCTGGCAGCCCTGACTTGCTGTATTGCTTGATGGACCTCAAACCTGTTATCTATCTGTCTTATTCTGACATCATCATTTGGAACTATTTTTTTAAATATGGGAAAGTAGAACATAAACAACTCTATTTGGTAAGCTGGTCCCAAAAAACTTCAATGTTGTATCAATGGGATTTAGCATTCCCATTACAAATCCCAGGAACTTGACTTGTTCCCATAAAAGTACCACCAAGTGTCCTAAGACTGAATAATGTTATAGATGCATGAGAAAAGTTGCATGTCTACTGGTATCTGGGAACTGCTATTGGGATGAATGTGAACAATTTAACTATAAAAAGGGGAGAGGGTTCTGAAGCAATTACACCAACAAAATACTACTGTAAGTAATAAATTTAGCTGGAAGAATGGCTCAATTGGTATAGTGCTTGCCTTAGCAATCACAAGACCCTGTATGATAAGTTAGCAAATAAATAGGTAAATAAAGGATTTCAGAAAGATTGTACTACACCAGTTAAATATACAACACATCATTTTGCTGAAGTTATGCTAACTATCTGAACTTCAAAATAGTAGAAGAACACCATTCACATAGAACAAAGGAGCAGCCAAAGAAGAATGATAGGCAGAAAGGAAGAGGTGAGATGGGGCAAGAGTAACAAGAAGGAACAAGTAGGAGAAATACTCAACACTCCAGGATATCAGTGTAGTGCAAGCAGTAGCATACAAAGAAGTTGTTTAATTCTGAATAGAAAAGTGTAATAAACTAGAACATTGCATGTATTGGCAAATCGCAGGATAAGCAACCATCCATAAAACTTCAGATAAATTCATACACTATCAAAATTTTCTGGTAAATTTAAATTATCCATAATCTACAGAGAACCAATCCCTCCACCCCTTTCCTAAAAGAATATTCTGCTAATAGGGAAAAACACTAGAGCAAGTTTACATAATTAAAATGAACAAAATATTTTTGGTCAACCTCACCACTAGGAATATGGTTTATGAGCTTCATTGTTAAACATTTATTGATGCAGAAATTGTCATATACCCACTTTAAGGTTAGTGAAATACTGAGAATCATCTTCTGACTCCGTCACCTTAGTAAGCTATCTTGACCTCTGTCAATGCACATTTGAGATGTTTTAATTACTGTTTATTTTCATAAATATTGTGATCGCTCTTCCACAATTTTAGATTTGCTTAGTATATCCTCATGATTTATGCCTAATTGCTACCTATGAAGTCTATTCAATATTTATCTTTTCTTAATGAATTATGCTTCACTTTTGCCCAACTTCAGTGTCTTGCCTGAATTTATCTCACACAACACATAAGTACCAAGAAAGGACACATCTGGTAACATTACCAAACATTCCCTAAAACACCCAAATATTATGACCTCTGCTGTATTTCTTTGCCATCACTTTTGATAACAAATATGTGGAGTTATCAACAACTGCCAACTTTCAAATATCAATTGAGTGTCCTACAATTCAACTCTGACACCATGCAGAGTTGAGAACAGTCCGTCCAACTTCTGGGTATCAGTGAGAGACAGAAAACCAAGCATAGCACATCTGTGCTATATCTGCTCACACCAGTCACTTCCAAAAGTCATAGAGAGGTATTGCCCTGACAAAACTCATTAGAATATATTCAAACATTGCCTGAATAGGGCTTCATAAAAAAATGAAATGCACTCCTATTGCCTTAGAAATTTCAAGTATTTCAGAATCTTTGTTGTAGAAACTGACACAATGAAGAAAAACTTAATTTATACTACAAACCCACTTGGTGTTTAAAATACACTGAGTTTTTGCCCCATGAGAGAATAAATATAAAGGTGTCTTTCTCTGAGCCTGGACTTCCTAGACTTGTCTTCCTTGTTACAAATTACATTGTCTAACTAAATACCTGAATCAAAAGGAAAGTGGTGGAATGATATATTCTGAATGTTGTAACCCTCATAAATAGATGCAATTACCCTACATTTCCAATAATTTCTCTCCTGGAAAAGAAGCACAGAATCAACATTCTTCCCACTACCACCTTTGTAAACTCAGATATATACCAACACACATTCCAAATGCCCTTTCCTTGTATCAAAAATGATTATGTGCAGTAATCAGTGCAAAAATCTTCAGAAGGATTTGTAAAGAGTTGTAAGAGTTGACAAATCTGAGCCTGAGTCATCCAACAAATCACAGTTTAATGTTACCATAAGATCACAAAGAACCAAGGCCACTGTAGTTCACACCTGTAATCTAGTTGTTCAGAAAGACAATGATTAGGAGCATCTTGTTTCATACCCATGCTAGAATATAGTCCTTCAGACTATTATTTAAGGAAATAATAAGCATTGTTAAACCACATATAATAGTTCTAAGTATAAAATAAGGCAAGTTGATGGTCCCCAAAAAAATAACAAGGTAGCATTCCAACCTGGCATTAGTCACAAATTCTACAGGTGAAATAAAATAAACCTGGCTTTTAGTGGAACTTGGATCTTTCAAGGTAATTGAAAGTGTCATTTAGCTGTGAAAATCATGTCCATTCTGAAGGTGCATCCCTTGATCCTTTTCTTTTTCTACAGCAAATACAAAACCACAATTTTCATATCCCAAGATTGACAAGCCTTCAGACCCACTTTCTTATGGCCACCTCACTTTGACATTCATTCCTATAAAACAATGAGAAACAATCTGAGAACAGGAACAAGTATGTGACTGGGGGAATATGTCTCCATTCCAGTCCAAGAACAACCATGTATGCATGTGGATGTCTGTTTCCAATAGTTCTAGCAATGTGGGAGATACCTGGAAATTCAGGGATTTAGTGGCAGCACTAAGAAGAGGGGCCTCAGAGGACAGGATGTGGGTTTAATTCCTGATTACTCTCATCTCATAGGAAACCCAGAACTCACCTTAGAAAAAGGGGAGAGAGGGTGCACTGCACTGCAATTCTCTTTCCCTACACAAACTATAAATTAGCTTAGAGTATCCACTGAATACCCTGCATCACCACACACATGGGGAGTCACAGATTTCGGTGTGGATCTTTCCAGAGTGTACTGAGGGCCAGGATGAAGTTACCTCACAGGGACAAGACAGAACAGGACTGTGTTCCTGACACCCTGCCTGGCCTGCAGGATTGAGGGGACCAAAGAGGGAGTGGTATCAATTCATGCATTGACAAGATGACTGTGGCCCTCTTTGCCCAACTGCAGAGCCTGGCCATGCTGTCACCATTTCCTACTGGTAATGCAGCCAGTTGTCCTC